GAATGGGAGGAGGAACTCAGGAAAACTCTTCGGAATTGTTCCTTTGAGTACACTCTTGATACTCCCATTCCAAGCTTCCTCTCTAAGGGAATCATGAGCGATGAGGCTCATGATAAATGGTCTTCCGATTGCAAGAAGCTCACACATCTTATGGCTAATTCCATCCCGAAAGATTGGAAGGAAAAGCTCTCCTTCTATTTTTCAGATATTTTCCTCAAATCATTGGAGGATAAGTCACCAAGAGTGACAATGACAACTATGATGGACTCGTGTTTGATTTAACTAGGTCACTCTCAAACATGAAGATAAAGCCACCGAATGTGGGTTGTCTTGCTAAGGAAAGGCGCCGGCTTTGGTCAAGGGTCTACAATACCAAATTGAGACTCGGCATGCCCCTCTGACCTCATGTTCTTGGAATGACTAGGCTCTTCAAACACATGCAACTTCTCGGATTCTCATTGGAGGATGAGATGGCGGGGCATATCTTGCTTGCTTCACTCCACTTAGGCTATGATGCACTTAGAGTGCATATAGCTGCGGGAATGGAGACACGCTCTTTAAAAGAAGTGGCGCAACTGCTTAGCTAAGCCACTGCCTATGGAGTGACCGAGAGGCCCTTAAGAGGAAGGAAGAGGGAGTTCAAGAACAAGGCACGGATGCGGTGCTTCTATTGTGGTGGGCAAGGCCACTACAAGAAGGAATGTAAGCTCTTCCAAAAGGAGGAAGAAGAGAGGAATGTGGCATCTGCCTCAGGTATCTTCATTAACACTTGTGTTTAAAGCTATTCATAGGTATTGGATACCATGTGTAACTCACTTCATGTTTCCTTTTCAGGAACCAAGTGAGACGGCATCGCAAGTGAGAGGGTATTGGATACCATGTGCATCGACAAGCGGACGATAAAGATGGTTTTTTGGTCGTGCTTGTAGGAACGTTTATTTTGTCTATAACTTGTAATTAAACAATGCTTGTTTCTTATGCTTTTGAGCATACTTTTGATCCTTGTTGTTCGACACCAAACTATTTTGATCAACAAGACTTAATCAATGGTTGATTTGTTGAGAAGTCTTGTTTATATATGTTCTACATAATTGCATATGTTTAGACAAATTCATGATACCGACAAAAGGGCTAAGACCATCGAGTCGAATCAAACCAACTTGTGGCATTGTCGTCTTGGCCACATTAACGTCAAACGCATCAAGAAACTTCTCAAGAAGGTGTTCTTGACTCATTCGACTTGGAGTCGTTTGAAAATTGCGAAGGATGTCTATTAGGCAAGATGATAAAGCAACCATTTTCCAAGTTGGGAGAAAGGGCAAGTGACTTATTGGGTCTAATACATACGAATGTATGTGGACAAATAAGTAGACCCGCAAGACAAGGTTATTGATATTTCATTACCTTCACCGACGACTATAGTAGATATGGTTATGTCTACCTTATATCGAACAAAATCTGAATCTTTTGAAAAATTTAAAGAATTTTAGAGTGAAGTTGAAAATCAACTTGACAAGAATATAAAAGCACTTCAATCGGATCGGGGTGGCGAATATTTGAGCCATGAATTCAATGATCACTTAAAAGAAAATAGTATTCTTTCAGAGCTGACACCTCTCGGAACTCCACAATGGAACGGAGTATCAGAATGGAGGAATCGAACCTTGTTAGACATGGTTCGATCAATGATGGGTCTTAGTGAACTTCCTATCTTTTTCTGGGGACACACACTTCTAACTGCGGCACTAACACTGAACTGTGCTCCGTCAAAAGCTGTCAAAAAGACTCCATATGAATTATGGACGAAGAAACCTCCGAGGTTGTCTTTTCTTAAGATTTGGGGTTGCGAAGCATATGTCAAGAGATTAATTTCTGACCAGCATCACCCAAAATCAGACAAGTGTTTCTTTGTGGGCTACCCAAAAGAAACCAAGGGGTATTAATTCTACAATAAATCCGAGAACAAAGTGTTTCTTGCTCGTGATGATGTCTTTATGTTGTCCTCGGTGCCCCGAATGGTAGGAACCCCTCCTGCGAAACCGCCTACTATAGTAAAGATTTGCTCTTCATCAGTATCAGAGCTTATAGCAAGGTTGTCAGGCTTCTTAGACGACTGTCCACTGTTTGTTCTAGGTTACCGTTGGACTTCAGAATATAGGACTTCAAAGCCCCCTCACCAGCCAGACGGTCCAGTAACCTCCTGAGGCTATAGCAGCCATTGGTGTCATGGCCTATATCCACATGGAAACGACAATACTTGCTCTTGTCTCGGCTTTTGATGGAACTTTTCATTGCAGTCGGTTTCTCAATGGTCAACTGGTCTTTAATCTCCATGAGGATGGAAGAACAGCCCTTGTTAAATTCGTACTTGGGGACGTACGACTTCAACTCTTTCTTTTTCTTCTGGGACGGCTGACCAGAATGATCCACCACCCAGACTTCTTTTCTTTTCTTTCTCTCTACTTTTTTGGCCGGCTGAGCTAACTGGCTTTCTTTTTTTTGTCGGACTTTTTAGGGTCCGATAGCTGCTTTATTGCATTAAGCTCTGTCGCCTGTATATAAGCTTTGGCTTCCATCAATGCTTTTTGGAGGGTAGCAACCCTCTTCCTGACCAGGTCGAACTTAAAGGTTGACCCGTCCTTCAAACCCTTGAATAAGTCTGTGTAGACTACTTCTTCAGACAGCCCCTGGATCTGAATTCTCATCAGATTGAACCGCCTAACATAGGACCTAAGCCCCTCTCTATCTCCCTGCTGAATAGCCCCCAAATCAAGACTTGTCTTTTTGACTGGGATGTTCATAGAGATGTTGGACGCGAACAAGTATGCAAGCGTCTTAAAGTTATTGATGCAACCGGCTGGCAGATTGTCAAACCATCGTTGGGCTATACCCTTCAATGTCGCTGGGAAGCATCGGCACCAGGCGGCGTCATCCTACCCCTGTTAGTACATGAGGTTGGTATAAGCCATTAGATGGTCTTCCGGGTTGGTGGTACCGTCATAGGTACCAAACAACACGTTCTTAACCTTGGCCGGCTGAGCCGCCTCGGTTATCTCCCTAGAGAACGCCGACGGCTGTTCCCAAAGGTTTAGCAGCCCGAGCTGCCAATCCATAGGCTAGACATTATGTGCCGCCTGACCCGCAAAGTGGGCCGGCTGGATGTATGGTGATCCATACGGCATGTATGGCTGTTGGGGCACATATGGAGCCGGCTGGACAATGTGAGGGCCAGTACGTGCGGACATGCCGCATGACTGACTCTCTCGGTTTGTTTCCAGATACTTCATTGAAGTATTCTAGAAATTGTCTGGGTAAGTTGACGTTGAGGCCGACTCAGACAATTGCTAACTTCTCTTCTGCTGGATTAACATCCGGGCATCTGAGTAAGTTCTTTTTTATCCATCCGGCTGAACTTGCCGGATGGCTTTCTTTTTCCCTGATTCAGGGAAACGAAGCTTTGAAAGGTCGATCATGGGCCCATCCGTCCCCTTTGGTTTAGGGTGAGGAGTAGGCACACGATCCTTTACATGCTTCTTCCCTGAGGGAGAAGGCTTCTTGGCCGACTGACCCCTGTTGGTGCCAGTTGACTTGTTTATAATGTCCTTGATTTACCCTTTGCAACTCGTCATGAATTTCATGAGTTTCCCTCTTGTAACGGGGGCAGCACCCTCTGCCGCCAGTGGTGTCCCAGCCGACTTGACGGTTGAGTTACTTGGACCAGCTTTGTCCTCGCCCTGTTCCCTTGTTTCCTTGGAACAGGTGCGTCTTGTTCAGAATGACCCGTCTAGGGCCACATAGGTGTCGACCTCAAGGTCGTCACTACTATCTTGGTCCATGTGGACCTCAGCTTTGGACGTAGGTCGTTTGCCTTCAGTAGACGGTACAGAATCTGATGTCATCTCAGAAGTACTCTCCCTACAGACGACGCCAAATATTTCGGGTTTTGGGAGTCCCTCGGGAGAGTTTAAATTCCAAGAATGCACGTCGACCGTCTGTACCTGCAAAACCACGGAAACTCCGATTTAGTGGAGTTCGGCCTCCGTCGATCAAGTTAGAACCTGTCTGAATGTATAAAAGTGTGGAATGTGAAGGTTTTTCTCTCGAATTCCGAGAGAATTCTACAATTAATATTGCTCGGGTTTTGTGTGTATCTTTATGAATATGTAATAAATGAGGATTTTCCTCTATTTATAGTGAGAGGAGATCAGTTCTCCTTTCACAGGTTAGAGAGTCACGTGTCACCAGAGGGTTGGTTCTCTCATAACCTCTCTCATGATGACACGTGTCAGTACGTGATTGGGTCACGTGGACAGGGTATTTTTACCCTAAACAATAAAAATGAGGGTTTCTTAGGTGGTTCTAAAGGAGAGAGAAAATTATTAAGAGCTAGCACTTAGTTAAGAAATGAGAGTTTCTAGTTTGGAATTTACAATTGATGTTTCTGAAATATTTCCTCCGTTTTTTTTAAGTGCCCCACTTCTCATAAACGGCTGTTTTTTTTAAGTGCCCCATTACCAAAAGTGAAAACCCCAATCACATTATATATTATATTTCTCTCTTCCTTTTAACCCCATTATTATTATTTTATAATATTTTCTCCCTCTCACATTATTCCTAGTGGTCTCCATTTATATTTATCTCTCTTATTTTTCTAAATTTTTTATTCCAAACCATGCCCACTTATATACTACCTCCATTTTTTTTGTTGACATGTATTCCTTTTAAGATATTTTTATTTAGTTGGCACGTTTCTATTTGAGAACTGCTATTCGTCGCTCCCAATTTACCATGCATCGTTCCCATTTTAATATGAAGTGACCATTTTTCCCTTTTCTTAATTTAGGCTATATAAGGCTCCACCGCTTTGTCACAAAGATTCCCGGGCATTTTGAAAAGATCCCCAAACACTTTGACCCACCACTTACTTTAAAAAGGAATTAAAAATGTAATTTTTTTAAAAAATAAAAAAATTATGAAGCTTGAGCGACGGGTTTTGGACGATGAACAACGACAACGATCGTACATCGGAGGCATCGTCGGAAGAATCTGTAAGTTGTAGAATTTTTTTTTATGAAAAGAGGACTTCCGCCCAGTAAATCCACATCCGCCTTGAATTTCCAGATCATCCATGACGGATCCGAAAATCTTAGTCGGATCCTTCATGGAGGATCCGGATGTTCTAGGCAGAAGTACCCTTTTCAGAATTTTTTTTTTTTTTTTTATGTTATTGATTATTAGTATTATTATTATTCTTATTATTAGTGTTGTTATTATTATTATTATTATTATGAATATTATTATCATCATCATCATCATTATTATTATTATTATTATTATTATTATTATTATTATTATTATTATTATTATTATTATTATTATTATTATTATTATTATTATTATTATTATTATTATTATTATTATTATTACTACTACGATTATTATTATTATTATTGTTGTTGTTGTTGTTGTTTTGTATTATTATTGGTGAGCATGAATTGGATTCCGCAAAAAATGTGGTTTATAGTTATTATTGTTATTGTTATTATTAGTTATTTTTGTTAATATTAGTTTATGTTAATGTTAGTTAACATTAGTATGTTAGTGTTAGTTAATATTAGTTAATGTTGTGATATTAGTTAATGTTAGTGTTAGTTGATGTTAATTAGTTAATATTAGTTAATGTTATGATATTGGTTAATGTTGTGATATTATTATTATTATTATTATTATTATTATTATTATTATTATTATTATTATTGTTATTATTATTTTATTATTATTGTTATTATTATTATTGTTTTATTGTTATTATTATTATTATTACTGTTGTTGTTGTTGTTGTTGTTTTATAAATATTGTTATTAATATTATAATTAAAATAATAATATTGGAGTGTTTTGTGTGTTTTCTTTTATTTTTATAGGATTCAGAGTTTGAAGACGGTGGTGACGGTGTGAATTATAGTGCGAATTTTGTCACAGACACGTTTTTTCCAACGTTTGATGATGCAGTTAAATGGGCGGATGCTGTTGCCATAAATCTGGGATTTATTTTGGTTAAATCGTCTTACAACAAAACCAGAGATGGTCGACCATATCGATATTTGAGATGTGATCGGGGACGAAATAGCAAGCCGAGAGATCTTGAGAACGCAATTCGGATGGACACAAAAACCAAAGCTTATGGTTTTCCTTCCTACATCAAGATATATTATGAGTTCATCATCGATAGTTGGAAGATCCGGGCAAAAAATGATGCAACTGGGACCCATAACCATCCAATGATTGTGTATCAGGAGGGTCATCGTAAAATTAGTGGCTTGAGCTCGGATGCGAAGAAGGTTGTGCGTGACATGACAAAGTCCAAGGTTACACCGTGTAACATCATGGCGGCTATTGCAGAGCAATTTCCTAATGATCATCCAAACATCAGAATTATTTACAATTGCCGGAATGACTTGAGAACGGAGATGTCTGATGGGAGAGGAGTTGTTCATCAATTTATTCATTTGGCGAGACAGAGTCAGTATATTTACTGGGTCATGTCTGATGATCTTGGCGTTCTACAGCATGCGTTTATGATGCACCCAATCACGGTAAACATACTACGCACGTACCCATATGTGATCGGTATGGATTCGACTTACAAGACCAACCGATATGGGATGCCGTTCTTTGAGATAGTTGGTGTGACACCGAAAAATCAAAATTTCCTCGTCAGTATGTGTTCATGCGCAACGAGTGCACAACAGGCTATCGGTGGGTTTTTTTAGAGATTAAGAGAGTTGATTGGGTATGATAAGGAACCCTCGGTATTTTTGACAGACCGTGAGCTTGGCCTCTGTGCGGCATTGAGAGAAGTGTTTCCAGGGACGTCGCATTTACTTTGTCGATGGCACATTAACAAAGATGTGGAGGCTCGGGTCACTGATATGTTCAAAAACAAGAGGATCGGTGTGAGTTTCAAAAACGACAAATGGAAACGTATCATAGATGCTGCAACCGAGGCGTATTATAATGCTGCTATAGATACAATGAAAGCTCGGTGGGCAAGTTATCCGACAGTGATTAGTTATGTAGAGCGAACATAGCTTTGTCAAAAAACCAAACTTGTGACATTTTGGACGAACCAAGTTCTTCACTTAGGTAACAAGAGTACTTTCAGAGTTGAGAGCCAACATTCGGCTGTGAAGATGTGGTTTGAATCTTCGACAGGTTCGTTGTTATTATGTTGTAGTTGATGTATTTACTTCTTCTTAGTTATTCTAATTATAAATCATAACGGTTTTTATAATTTTAATCAACGGCAGGTTCTTTGGATACCGTATGGGCTCAAGTACATTGTCATATTGGTAGCCAGATCATTGCGATTCATAATGGTTTGGAGGCGTCTAGGTCGAAGATTGGTGAGAAGTACAGACAATTACCACTGTCACGTATTAACGGAAAGTGTCTCAGCATTGTTTGAAAGTTCTCGATGACGAGACGAGAAGGATGAGGGAGCTGAGTTATCAGGTGTATGAGCGTTGTGGATGCGTGCGTGTGACCCACAGTTTGCTATGTGCTTGCCAGATACATGATTCGCTAGTTGCACAAACAGGCTTGTATATAAGGCAAATTCATCCATTCTGGAAAACCATGGTTATCTGTGATGGTGTTGATGTACCGATGTTCGTTAACGACTCGACCGAGGAAGCTGCACATTTTCGTTCCCTGGTTGATGAGGTCATTGGCAGTGATCCTGCTGTACAACGAAATGTATCTCGCATCATTGAGGAGGAGCTGCATTCAAATCATTGAAACATTGAAGATCCACATGTAAACCACAACGTTCGAGGTCGACGAAGGAACAATGATACAAGACGTGATCCCAGTTATTTCGAACATGTCAACCGTCGAAACACTGAACGTGGTGCACATCAAATAGGTACAACTGGCTATTGTGATTTACACGTATTTCATCTTGTAGCGTACTAATAAATTAACATTAATTTTGTGCAGAAGAAGAAGATCCATGTGACATCCGCCAATGCAGGTATTTGCACTTGCTTCTAGGATCGATGTTGCGTTACATCACGGCATGGAAGGATGTCATTGGCGATGGTATCTGTGGCTTTCAATGTGTGGCCGACTTCTTCTTCGGTGATCAAGCCTAATGGTTTGACGCTCGGGAAATAATAGCAAACGAGGTAGCCGCTCATCCATTCCTGTACGAAAGGATTTGCAGGAATGGAAGGGTTTGAATGAATGTGGAACGTATTCGATGGGATGGTGGGGTGGTTGATTCACGGCATTGGATGGTTGCAATTCAAGATTTATTTCCTGTTTCTACTTGGTTCAACGCAAGGGTTATAATTCTTGTTGTAGGCGCCGTACCAACTTGCTACTACCCATGCCTCACGATCTTACCGTTGCGGGCACAAAACACGGTCAGGGCACCCGCCCAAGAGTTTGCAATCGCTACAGTTGGGGGGTCACATCGCATGGCACTAGCATCGCAAGATGCGTGCCATGCGCTCAAGGTGCTGTTATGAGTGTGTGGCTAGGCGGGCTGGCCTAGCAGCTAGCTATCGCCCATCGCTAGGCCAGGCGCCCAGCAGTCACTAGCCGCATCCATCGCTGCTTGCTGGCAGCGTGCTGGGCATGTGCGTGCTAGCACGCAGCCATGGGCCAGCTCCTAACAACACAGCACCACGCAGCATCGCTAGGCGTGCGTGCGTGTGTGGATGTGCATATGTGCTAGCTGGCGTGCCTTCGCATCCTTGCAAGGCATAGCCTAGCAATGCCCACAAGAATCGCAGGCATAGTGCCTTGCGTGCTTGCTAGCATGCTAGGGGCCAAGCACCAAGCACCAAGCCTAAGCAATGGTGCGCATGATGCCCAGCCTTTCGCATGCATGCAGCATCGCTATGGCTGGGGCCTTGCCTTGCGTGCTATGCGTGGAAGCTAGACGATGCGCCCAGCAAGGCTAGCAGCGCCTAGCACTTGCTGCGCCTAGCACTTGCTGCGCCCAACACTAGCATCAATGCGAGGCAGTGCTAGGCAGCTCCTAGCACTCGCATCATAGCAGCAGCAGCCCGCATGATGTGCGTGGCTTGCTGGCTGGGCATGTGCGAATGCTGGCTGGCATGCTAGCACAACCATGGTGCTAGGGGCCAGCAAGGCAGCCTAGAAAACCATGGCTGGCCAGCAGACACCTGTCCTAGCCACCCTTGCTTAGATGGTGGGGACTGGTTTTCTTGTTGTCTTAAGGGGAGGGATTGCAAATGGTCCCCCCCCCCTCCTTGGTTGGGTAGAAGGGAAAAATGAGTTGGTCCCCCCCTTGGGGTGGTCCTTATTTTCCCTCTTCTTCCTCATGCCACTTGTTACTTTATGATTGATTTGCACAAAATGAAATCCTCCCACATTGATCAAGAGTGGGAGTTCAAGGGTTCAATTCCCAATAAATACCAAGATTTTGGCATTTGGGAAGAACACTTGAGTGGAGTTAAAAGGGCATCTCCTTGGATAAGTGAGAAAACCCTAAGTTCGTAAAACTCTAGTTTTCTTGGTCGGGTGTCAACTAACCTTTGAGACTTGGAACGATCGGGTCGGGTTCGTGGGTACGAGCCGTCGGAGACTTCGCATTTGCGGGGTTCAAGTAAGAGCTCGGGAATCGAGCGAAGCACGCGTCAAGGGTAAGAACGTCTTTTCTTTCTCTCTTTAATTTGTTGTTTAATTAGTGATTGCATGCTTAGTTGCCTAAATTAGTGGGCAGGTCTTGGGTGGGTTTCTCTTCCGCGTAGAGTCGGACTCTACGAAACCCAACATCGGTATCGGAGTCGCGCTAACTTTAATTTTTGTAACTAATAATTAATTAAGGTGATTTAAAATGGATTTAAATTTCTGGTTGTGTCTTCTAATTAGATTAGAAGGTTGTATTAATTATTTAATTAATCTCGTATTTTATAATTTTGGCTGACGAACCCAGATTTCGACTCAAAAATAGTGATTTTTGGGTGGAATCAACGTTCTAAATCGTTTCTGATCCTTTACGGATTGTTCAAAAGCCAAAATCCACCCGGAAATATGTTTTTCCAGGGGTTTTTCGTTTTTGACGAATTTTTTTTAAATCTTTTAACCTTGATTATTTATTGCATGTTGAAGCTAGATTAAATGCATGGTTGCATCCGTAATCTACTGCAATGATAAACCTCATTAAGCATGTTTATGAAGTCATAATTGGTGCTTAACTTGGTATGTTCATTTTTCACATAAACTTGATTTTTCACATTGTAGCAAATAAATTGCTCTTAGTGTGAAAATTTATGGTGAATTTGCATTTTTAAAGCCCCTTTATATTACAAAATCCAATCTTTAATTGTTTATTTGGTTGGAATTTTGAGTACTAAATTCCATATTGAACTAATGTTGGATTTAATCATTTTGTGTTGATTAAAGTCCTTTAAAGTTCAAAGCTTGTTATTGTATTTTGATTATATTAGTCTTTATATTGGAAGATATAATCTTTTCAATTTTACACAAGTTTTTAGTTGGAAAATTTTTCATTGGATGAAAGGGATTATTTTTCCAGCCCTCTTAATTTTGTCAAATATCATCATTATTTTACATTTGATTAATTTAATCACGAGAGGAGCCCTTTATTTTAATAGCATTAAAATAGACCTAAATTGATTAAAGAATGGTTCTTGAAAGTTTAGGCTTGTGCACTACTTAAATTAATTAAGTTAGACTTATTTAATTTTTCCATTTTGCTCTAAGTTGATTCTAAAATAAATTTAGAATTCATTTTGAAGTCACACAAAAAAAATCGAAATTAAAATCCTGAAATAACGGCACGCAAATCGAGGCAAAAACACCCCGACACCACCAAGGCTAGTCGGGCTGCTGTTGCAGCCCACATGTGGCTGCCTTGGTGCGCTTGGTGGTGGTGCCTCTTCTATGCGTGTTGCTGAGTGAAGGGCATCAAGGTGCGCGTGGGGCTGCGAGGGTGCATGGCTAGGCAGCTAGGAGCATCGCATTGCTGCTGGGCAGCAAGCTTGCTAGCCAGCCTTGCCAGCACGCATGCTGGGAAGCGCAACATGCTGTGCTTGCTGCGTGCTTGTGCTGGCAAGGGCCAACACTGCCTGGCTAGGCGTGCTGCCTGCGCCCCTTGGCAGCCTCTTGCGAAGGCATGGTGCCTAGCTTTCCTAGGCCCATGGCTAGGATGCTAGGCACCCGGTTTTGAGTGTGCTTGATTTTGATGCATGGGCTATCGTATTTTGCAGATTTTTTGCTGTAAAATTTTAATTATTTTAACGAGGCCAAGCCTCGATTTTTCCGGCTGTTGCAAAAATTTTATTTTGACAAAATTTGGGTTTTCCGGCTTAATTAATTGGATTAATTAAGTGGGATGCGGAATTTAGTGGGAGCTTTGTTAAAATGCATGAACAAATTGCGTCTTAATCACTTAAAATGTTAGACAACTTTGACTAGTTTTAGTTAGGCACGTTAACCGGATTAACCACCTAATTAGTTGCTAGTTTGCGCGCGTGTTATGCATTATTACTTGTTTTTCGTTGTAAAATGCATGGGCCAATCACAGATAGTGAATGGATGAATGGAAGTTATATGTTTCACAGGTTTCGTGAAAATGGCAACTAGTGGGACCCGACTAGGATAGTAAATACAGACTGCGATCCGTTATGTATTTTTGTAAATCTAAATACGGTCTGCGTACCGTTGCGTATTTTTTTACCTTAATATTTAGATTAATCCTAGTCGTAGTAGCTAGTTATTTTATTTTATTTTTGGCGGAAATGTCTCGAGACGGTGTTTTCTATGAACACGGACCAAAATGAAGACCCTTGAAGATTTGAAGATTTCAAGGGGTCATGCTAGTTGCCAAATGCATCTTATTTCATGTCTTCAATATATAATTGTTCTTATATATTTGCAAATGATAATGTTAGATGCATGTTTAGGTTTTCCAATGTTGTGATGATTAAATAAGTTCACTTAAATCAACTAACATAGAAAACCTAGGTCCCTAAAATATTGAGCTAAAATATGCCATTCCAAGAACAACACTTACCGAACTAATGCGCGTATGTGATGGGCTACGCCAAAGAGAGGCATCACTACTTCCCTAGGAACGTAAGGTATACTAGGTATACAAGTTGTCTTGGTTAAGCTCAACGATATCAGTAAGGAGTCCTTAGATGTCGTGGCAATGGAGATAAAATGTCAAGGAAAGCATTAGATGCGACATTTTATCAGATCAAGAGTAGCTTGGAGCTATTAGCAATTAGATTGCTTACCCTAAAATATTAAGTGTTAAGACAAGCCAAAGCATGCTTAATCACTTTTTGATTATTGGGATCTCAGAATCATTTTATTCTCGCCTAAAAGGGGACAAATATTAATACGTGGATAAAATGCTCAATAAGATTGAATTTTGCATAATCGCTTTAAATTTCAAATTTATTGGTTATGAATGGTTTTTTCATTTCAAATTCTTTCAATTGTAGAATCACGTCTGCAAGTAAGTCAAACGACAACAACTCCATGTGCTCGGAACTCCCCGACAAGTTGGCTTTTAGCCTTAACTTGGTCAATTTCAGAGAATGGGAAGAGGAACTAAGGAAAACTCTTCGGAGTTGCTCCTTGGAATACACTCTTGATACTCCCATTCCAAGATTCTTCTCTAAGGGCATCATGAGCGATGAGGCTCATGACAAGTGGTCTTCCGACTACAAGAGGGTCTCGCATCTCATGGCCAATTCCATCCCGGAAGATTGGAAGGAAAAGCTCTCCTTCTA